CTAAGTGAGACACAATGTAAGAGGAGAGAACATAATGCCCTCTCTATTGTATGTATGTCTTTTTGGTTAGTGTTCTACTGCCCTCTACTGAAGGCTTCGTGAACTTCAGTTTGAGCTGTACGAGTGAAACAGATGGATCATAAACAGAAAACTGAATTGTGCCCACTTAAGTTTCTTTGGGTCAAGGCAGAGCTTCAGACTGATCGAGCTTTTATTATAAAGGATGAGGCCGTTGTAAGAGATGGCTCCTGTATTTAAAACTCTCTGTTTTGAAGAGAGGCTATTTTGAAGCTTCAGCTTTTGCATTTTATTAATTCTTTAATGGATGTTCCAATATTTGATGTTTGTGAAGCACTAGTTAGTCCAGTGGTTCACAAACGTGCCCCCCTTTGTTTTACAAGAACACCCCCGGCACAAACACACCCTCCAACCACACACGCCCATACTTTGTTTTCAAACTCCACTGCAGTTTATTTCACACTCTAAACAAATAAAAGTAAACTGCAATAAATTACAGGTTGCAGTAAAATAAACCACTAAACAAACCACCTTTGTGGTGCAATTATTTCATGCATAGTTGTTTCGTTTTTCTTTTTTTGTTGTCTTTACTGTGTAAGAATATTCAACACTGCTATCAACAGATTTTTCAAAAGATGCCTCTCTCTCTGCAAAAGGGTTTTAAAAACATAAAGCTGTGGGATACTGTTTGTCTGGGATGTGGACATAACTTGGCACCACCGTTGTGCAGGTGAAGCCAAAGGTAAGATATGCGTCATCATATGTTCTTTGGCGATGCTTCATCTTCTGCTTCGCGTTTGTGTGAAAGCCACGACAAAAACCTGACCATGATGCTAGCAGTGTCCAAGCATTCCTTTTTTTATTCATGCACATCCAGCCCTCAGGTTAAAACAATAAAGTCCGAACAAAGGTACAGAATAAGAGGGCAAAACGAGCAGTATGATCGCACAGGACTGGAAGGGCACATGTGCTATTCTGTTCAAAAATAAAAACTGTCATGTTGTCTTTTATCTTCCAACATGTGCACTGCAGACATTCAGCATTGCACAGCAGCATGCAAACTTAGTTGGGAAACCTTGCTCTGATTTAAGCAGCATGTGTGCGCCCTGTGTTACAGCAGACTGGGACAAATCAGTGCTGTGACCTTCAGCTGCCCCATGAAGTGTGAACACATGACATTTGTATTTACTTTCACCATTATTTACCACTAAAGCTTTTATGTCTTACGTTTGGCGTGTTTTCTAAGTATATTAAATTCAGCATTGTTTGGTTCCCTGTGCACCAGCGTGTGCTTTCCTTTTAGCAAATTAGTTTGAATATTGCAGTATATGCTGCTCCGCTGATCTCCACCTGTAGCTGTGTATATTCAATTCAAGTTTATTTATACAGCTTCAAATCACAACAACAGTCGCCTCAAGGCGCTTTATATTGTAAGGCAGACCCTACAGTAATAGGGGTCGACCTTATATCACCTCTGTGATGTAGCACACTGACCGAGGTGCAAAACAAATGTGCTCATAAAGAAAATGTTTCCAATCTAAAAGTGAAGCAAACCACAGTGCTTTGAGACCATCGCCATCAGATGAGGACCGTGCATTTCACTCATCTGAGACAAGAAAAGTGACACACATCAGCCAGATGTTAGGATAAAATGCAGTTTTGCATTTTTGCCAGACAGAAGGAAATCCTGGTGTCTGTCAAGAAGCACAGAGAGGAATTCAAATAGGAATGAAAACAGACGAAGACGATAACAGGTACACATTGTAAAGGTCACAAGACACACAACTAGTTTTTGTTATGCTTTTGTTATTAAATTTCAAGTCACCAGTTATCCTGTTTTGCCTTTTCATAGGAATGATTTTTAGGTAACGACGGCAAACAGCTTTTCCTTCACATCTGTGCTCCCTCAAAAGGAAAATAAGCAGCTGGAGGCAACAGGATCTGGAAGAGAATCGGTGGCAGCAAAGAGGCTCTAAAGACTGACGGATAACAAGTGATTGTACTACAGCATCAAGTGATACGTTTTAAATTCTGACTGTGAAGTAAAAGGGTCATTTTAACTACCTTTAAAATTATGAATAAATACAGCACTTCTGTAAATGTGTTTACGTACCGTCCACCACAAGTTAATTAGTAGTTAACTACTGAAATAGACCAAATAACTACATTACATACTTATGTGCTGTAGCCTTTGCAAGGAAGTAGTGGAGGAATCTAAATGGTTAACATGTTAGCTGTTAAAGACCACCTGCATATAAATGCAGCTTATAGAATAGATTTTCAATCTAATCCAATCCTGTTTGATTTATTGAGCATTTTTAAAGCTGCGAGTTTGAAAAACGTGCTGTACGTGACACAACACAATCAGTAAAACAATAAAAACAAAATAAAAGGCAAAGATAAGAACACACTGCTCTCAAACAGGCAACAAAGTGGCCATGGGCGATCATTGCACAGTTTGAGAGCACTAACAGAGAAAGCTGGATTGCTCCGGGTTTTTGGGAGTGCCTGGAGCAGCTAGTCCAGGACGTCAGCCACCTCGACGGAATATTTTTGGAATCTGCAGCTCAGCTTGTACGGTGGTGCTGATCCATGAAAGGTTTAAAAAGTATATAGTAAAATCTTAAAATAAAAGAAATGGGAATGCACGATAAACCCAGAATTGATCTGCTTGTGTATTTAATACGGGTTTAACATCCACCTGCAGAAAAGAAAGAGCAGCACAGATACCAGTGTGGTCGAACACAGTGACGTTGGTCCTGTTTTCATATACGTTTCTTTATAAGGTTATTCATGCGTTCAAGGGTTTACACAAGCAATAAGCCAAACAGCCAAATGTATTCATTATTGTGCCCAGAGATGGGCAGTAAGGCGTAATCTGATTACTTTTTTCAGGTAACGAGTAATGTAAGGGATTACTATTGCGAAAAAAGTAATTAGATTACTGTTACTTTCCCGTAAGCATGCTGCGTTACTGCATTACTAAACCGTCATACTTTTTTGCGACATACATGGATAACATGGAGTGATGGAGAGAGTACGACCATGCAGCGTTTAAAGCGTGGAAGTAATCACATTACTTTGAGTTTGATTCTGTAAAAAGTGACACAAACATTAGCGTCTGCTGTTCACCCTGCATGGGAAGAAAACTTCTTTCTACAGCGAAAAATTTAACTTCAAATCTGAATCTCACGCTGCCACGGGAACGTGACATCCACAGAGAAACCCCCCACTGACAGGACCGCTGTGGGCAAACCTCCACCCGCCCCACTCCTGCTAAACAGGTGACAATAAGAGCGACAGGACTCAGCGCTGCTTTGAAGTTTTACTTTCATCTATTTGAAAGAGTGTAAACACAAAGCATTATTTTATTTTATATGCTGGAATATGCAGAACATGGCTTTAAATGGTAAATAATGTCTTCAAGTCAAAGACTGTTGCATATATTGTCATTTTTGCTTGATGCAATGTGCATAAAGTTAAAAGATTAAAACTAATAAAACAAGTTTTAAAAAGAGACGTTTCCATTTGATTCAGTGTTACATGGTGGATTATGCAGACAAGTAGAACTGGGCTGAAAGGTCTGTTGCTTTATTACATATTCAGGTTGGGTATCGTGTTTTTAAAAAGTAACTAAGTAACTAATCACTTTTGAAAGTAAGTAATCCGTAAAGTAATGGGATAACTTTTTTTGAGAAGTAATCAGTAATTAGTTGCTGATTACTTTTTTCACGTAACTTGACCAACGCTGGGTTTAGGCCAGACGGCGTTACAACAGAGGATTTGTAACTCTGTAACAGTGCCAGCATCCGGCTGCAAGAACAAACAGAAACAGAAGTAGATGATACTCTTGTCTCTTCTCTGCCACTAAGCACGTTACATAACCCTAGTTTTGGACTGCGGCCCTTTAGCGAGATTTTGTGAGTGTGTTGTTTTTGGTTTTACACATTGTGCCTCTATTGTATATATGACTGATCTTGTGTAATACTTATATAAGAGATAACGTGGCTGTTTGTTTGTGTGTGATGAGGAAAAGGAGGGCTGCTCTGTCAGCTTGCTTGAAGAAGCATAAACAGTAGCAGCTTTGTGTTTCAGCAGTGTGTCAGTATTTATCCAGTAGCAATGACGGAAGGGGGTTTCTCTCACAGATAATAATACTGACAACATGCAGAGCAGACTTGCTGCCGTGCAAGCTGTTGTGTTTAGCAGAAATCTACTGATAACTGTGCAAAATATCAGCTTAGAAAAGCTGGGAGTCTGTACAGAACAGTTTTGTTTTGTTGAGTTTTTATTTAGGATTTGAAGTCGCATTATCAAAATTTGGGTGCTAGAGAGCGCATGATGAGTAATAAGGGATGACTCAGAAGTATGAATAAAATATGTCTGACCTTAGCCATATTTCCTAAATGAAAAATATATGAGCTATGAATTGCTGTTTACCATCTCCAAGCTCTGCCTTCAATCTTCAATTGTTAGCTGCGAGAATATTCTTCATAAAATGTTTAAGTCTTAGTGGATCATTCTCATTGCTTCATGTCAGTGCTTTTTGGTCGGCCTTTCAGGACAAATGGCTTTGAGAATATAAAACTGTAAGTCTGGGCTGGAATCGCATGCTCTGTCTGATCTTTTCTGCTCGTTGTGCACTATAAAACTCACATTAATTGTTCAGTACAGTTCAGTTTTATTTATAAAGTGTCAGTTCACAACAGAAATCATGCAGGTGTCAACCTCAGTAGTACAAGGAGGTGGTGCAAGACCATGTATAGGACCAGTACAGGGCAAAGTCACTAAATCTCCTTATGTCATTTGCCAAATATTTTATTTACATATTTCCTGTAGGACTGTGAATAGTACCTAAGACTCTTGAACATGTAATAAATCTGCATGAGCCCTTCTCTGTACCCCTGTGCCACCCCACAGAAAAATGTTGGAAACGCCCCTGCTCCACAGTCATTTCATTTTCTGCCATTTCTGCCCATCGAGGTCAGACCAGGCCAAGCTAGACCCTAATCACTAACAGACAAACTGTGCTTTCACGCACAGAGCCCCGCTATAAAAGCCAGAAACAGCCGTTCTGCTGGTGGAGTCATGACGGAGAGCGGCGGGGCTCTGGAGCGCCTGAGGTGAGTACACGCGTAAAGACTCACCGGAGCTGCAACAACACGGTAGGAGACGTTTTGTTTGGGCCGACACATTTGGTTTTAGCTTCCAGAACTGATTATAGAGCAAAATGTTATATTGCTGAAAAATATCAATTTCATACTTTCAACTCAGGTTGTTTTAAATTATAGATTCACATTAAGGCCATTAATGGTAATAATATTGTTGGTTGTAGTTTACATCCTTATTTTAATGCTTATTTTGTTTTAATATAAATTCGTTATTCTGGATATTCAATTATTCCCGCTAAGAAAAAAATGAATTATTATCATTATTATTATTTTACTGCTGCTGTTGAGAAGCGATAGAAGGCTTTCATGTCTCTTGTCTTCTGTTTACATTGTATAAATAATGAAGGAGCAACAGTGACAAACTTATAGGAATAAAGGATATTTTAATGGAACAGAAAGGCAAACACCTGCATCATAATCATTTAATCCGCCCTGAGTGTTTGCCTCTCTGTTCCATCTCCAAATAAATAAATAATAATCCTGCAGGGAATCTGGCAAATAAAAACCGGGCTACTGTGGGTCACATTAAAAGCTTAATGGTGCTAAAAACCAAATGTTTTCTAACTTGAGAAATGAAGAATTTATTTGTTTTTGAAGAAAAGGATCACATTTACATGTTAGTGTGAGTCCAACTCAGGACCTTCTTCCTGTGAGGCAAAAGTGCGCGACAGACTTTTGAATGGCCAGCAGGGGGCGTCCTCAGCGGTTGCAAATAGAGTTCCAGTTTTATGGGGCTCATGTTTCTTGCCCCGTGACCTAAACACTTTCCTGATAATTGTATGGGTTTCATGTTCACTTTTAGATTATATTATGTAGACGATATGTTCAATATTAGCAGAAAAAAAGGATTTTCCAGGATCTGCTCATTGGATCAACTTTTTAGTGGATTTCACAGTGAAACTCTGTTTATGGTTTGTATCTGCAGTCGTGTTCATTTTGCACCCAGAACTCATAACCACTGAGGACTGGAACATAGCTGGGCAGGTTTTGCCTTCAGCTCTGCTCCTTACACTGCATCTAAGATCTAACAACCTTTTTAAAACACAGCATGTCTCGTAAATGAAATAAGACCTCTGATTTTACATAAACTCTGATGTCTATTTACATTTTATGTAGTGGGTTAACCTTACTAACTATAGCTGCACACAGCAGTACATCTAAAATGTTTTCTGTACTCGGATTCCACATAAACCTTCAAATGTTTGACAGTAGCACTGTTTTTGTGCACACACTACAAAATCAAAAAGAGGCCCACACAATGATTGCACTGTGTGAAATTCTTGGCTCGGATGGTATCACATTGTTCCCAGATAGATCAAACAGACAAAGAAACCACTGTGATCTACAAACAAATGAGTCTGAGAGTCTTGGTGAAAGACTGATCTGGCCATGTGTGCCAGATCTGTGGCTCTGTCGGTGTTGTTAGTGTACATGCTTAAACATTATTACCAAAAAGCTAGCTTTCAGTCATTTATCGTCTGCAGCAAAGATTGATTTAATGTCAAAGTATGTGGTTCATTAAAATAAATTCATGAACATCTAGGTTGAAACCAATTAGAGTAGCTAATGAGACAGTGGATCTTTGGATCGCTCCCCATGGTTTTTATCTTTTTTAATTATCTGCAGGGTCTGATTGACCCTCCAGAAGAGTCCCTGACCCATCATTTGTCCCGTTACAATTTGTATGCATTAATTTGCAGTTTTTGATCATTTATCATAATGTAATTAAGCACAAATATGGTAGTAAATACATTTTAGTATACAGCAGCATCCTTGTGTGGTCAATTACAAATGCAATCAATCCAAAAGCTCAGATAGAAATTTAAAAGGCATTTGAAAGCTAAAAATAGAAATGAGGGCAGACTGTGCAGAGTGGGCAATTCTCCACACTGGTTCACGCCCTGAAGGGCTCTGTAAGCTCAAAGCCCACTGTGTAATTTTCTCACTGCAACTAATTACAAAAAAACATTAGTTTGTTAATCTGGTATGCACCATTAAAGCACGGGAAGTTGATAAAGCCTATTAAGTGGGATATTCCTTATTAGCTACCTGGAAGCACCATCTCATGATGAGGCCACGAGTCAAAATCTAGTTCATATTAAGTTGTTTAGTAAATATTATTAATGTTGTTTTTGTTAATATGCACCTGGTGCCCTTACCCCATCAGCCAGGGTAGACATTTGTGATTTATTTATTTATTTATTTGGACAAACACTAAAAACATCACACTTTCTCCCCAAGACAAGAACTAACAGACTTAAAACTCCTTTGTCCCACACGCCATCAGACTGTTTAACTCCTCTCTGGAGGGGAGAGAGAGGGGAGAGGGAGGGGAGACAGGAGGACAAAGGAGGGGGGAACAACTAAGCTGTACCTCTTCACCTCACTGTGCAACACCTTTGTAAATAGTCAACGGTGCAATAGACTCCATACTTGAAATGTGCAATTCACTTGTATTTTTATTCCTATTTATTCTATTTATCCCCTTCGTATATTTTATTTATATATGTCTCTGTATTTATATATGTGTGTGTAAATATATATAATATTCTGTAACTCTGTAACTTCTGTCGGTGCTGTGCTTTTGGAAACCGAATTTCCCAGAGGAGCCCACCCGAGGGATTAATAAAGTTTTATCTCATCTTATCTCTTATCTTTCAGAAACTAGAACATCCACATACTTTTTGAGCCATGCTTGACGAGTTAAATCTTGATTAGGCAGGTTAACAGTCTTAATATTACATGAGAAGAAAAGTCGTATAATAGAATAGAATAGAATAGAATAGAATAGAATATAGCATTTCCCTCCTTGTAGATTGCATTGATACTGTATAATGATAGTAATTCTCAGACCCCCTCAGCCTGAATAGTGTGAACTTGTTTATCTGCAGTGAAATAGAAAGTGAGCTTTCCTGTCACACAGTTTACAAAGCAAATTAAAGCTCAGGCCATGGTGCAGAGCAGAGAAAGGTTCGGTCCACAGTGGGTGCAAGCACAGAACCACTCAAGCTCAAAACTAACAAATGAGGTGGCCAACCTGCTCTACTCTCTCTCTCTTTTCAAATGCAGGTGAGCCGCACTCATCGTGACCATTTTGAAACCAACACGTTGTCCATGTGTTATCTCCCCATTAAAAGGCCACAACCCCTCTCACAGCATGTTTCCTGTCTCTACGCTCTCTTCCAGGAGGTGTTGCTTTCCCTGTAAACCACAGTCTCAGTCCTGGCCTCCATCGTGCTTCACTCAAGACAAAGCTATGACTGCCTTTAAGGGCATCTGGACCAAGGAGTTCTGGCGCTGTGTGGCGGCTGAGTTCTCTGCCATGCTGATCTTTGTCCTGCTTGGCCTCGGTTCAACCATCAACTGGGGCACTGAGGATCCCCACCCCCCCGACCTCGTGCTCATCTCTCTCTGCTTTGGCCTGACTATTGCCACCATGGTGCGGTGCTTCGGCCACATTAGCGGGGCTCATATCAATCCAGCGGTCACAGTAGCCATGGTTGTGACCAGGAAGCTGAGCCTGGCTAAAGCAGTCTTCTACCTCCTGGCCCAGTGTGTGGGAGCCACAGTTGGGGCGGCCGTACTGTACGGGATCACCCCAGCCGCTGTTAGGGGTGGGATGGGAGTCACTGAGGTAAGAGCAGAGTGTGTGTCTTTAAATGTGTGACTATGTGTGACAGTTTTATTCTCCACTACCGACCTTTTGCCTGTGAATACATTCATCTGACTACATGCTCACGTGAGTGTGTTTTACTCACACAGGTGAATGACAGCATCTCTGTGGGTACCGCCCTGGTCGTAGAACTCTTCATCACCTTTCAGCTGATCTTCACCATCTTTGCCACCTGTGACCACAAACGTAAAGATCTCAAAGGTTCATCTGCTTTGGCTATCGGCCTTTCTGTTTGTGTTGGGCATCTGTTTGCTGTAAGTACCCAGACACCTGTGCAGTGATTCATCGTGATGTGGGAGAAATTCATTTCATTGTAATCATGAACAGCTTATTATGTGAACATGTTACAGATTACTTTTTCAAAGCTCAGTTCACCGCAGAGTGGATGCGACACATCACCCTTTGGTTCGATGGAAAACCTGAAGCATGCATGCTGTGTTAATTCATAAGTGTTATGTAATGATTCTAAAGCAGAATCGAAACTATTCAAAGAGGAACCAACAGCATAAAGAGGAAGGTCCAGTTTAGTCTCTCACGTTACTGCAGCTGTGATGAAGCCACGAGAGCCAACCTTCAATTATGTGATTAACTGTGTGATTTGTAGTGTAGAGATAGGATTTACATTATTGATGTATGTAATTTAGCTCCAGTGAAAGACTCCAGTGAGCACTGAGCTGTGACTGTTAGTGTGGACAGTGAAAGCACTTTGATTTGCTTGCTTCAGTCCCTCAGTCGGTTAGACGACTGAATGGTTACTGAGTGTTTTCACAAAGTCAGGAGAACAGGATGGAGCCAGATGTGACAACACTTGGTAGATCATCAGTTTAAGAGACAGGTCAGTCCTCCAGCTCACATTAGTCATCGGTGCTTGAATTAAAGGCAGCTGACCTTCTTCTTAAGTTCATGAAAACGTTTCACTGCTTATCCAAGAAGCTGGTGGAGGTCTTTAACCACTGCTTGTGAGAGCTGAAGCATCTTCAGGCTCCTAAAACGAAGCCCAGCTGTCCTTAACTCAAACCTTTAAGGCTTGTTGTTTTGTTTGTGAGGTTCATAGCCTGGTTGTGACTGTTCCCTCAGATTCCCTTCACTGGAGCCAGTATGAACCCTGCTCGGTCCTTCGGCCCAGCGATGGTCACATGGTCCTGGGACAACCACTGGGTAACAACATTTTGATTAATATTCAAAATGCAGAGTGAGTGCACCTTTTGCCATTTTGAAAGTAATTTCAGTCCCAAATATTTTTCAGAAATTATACGTAGTCAGTTAATGTGTGGAAATAGTTATAGGCATAAATTCAATAAGAATCTGCAGTTGCCCTCAGCTTTATGGAGCTTTGTAGGGGGTTTCAGGTCATTAAGAGTCTGGTCCACAATGCTTTGTTTTTATAGCGTGGTTTCCAGCAGCAGGCATGCTGTTTGACACTGTCTGCAAGGCAGCACACGGCAACAACACAGTTGCATTGATTAGTGCTGTTTACAGGAAGTCTTCATAGCAACTGCAACAACAGCTAAACTGCAGACGTCTCCATACAGATACAAATAAATGATGTGTTTACCTGTTACAGTTTGCATCTTTGTATGAGTTACAATGTGTTGTGTTTTTTCCTGTTCTTTAATCGTTCTTCGGCGGTTTAACGGCTTCGAGGTTACAGCTGACAGCAGGCCTTCGCGCTGCTTCCCTTGAAGCTTGTCCTGTGTGTTCAACCTCTGCTAATATTATAGTTTGTTCTTGGTTTGTAAAACATGGCCGTGTTCTAGCAGCAGACCTGTCCGTGTGTGTGATCGCGCACATGCTTCGACACATTCATAACGAAACTGAGAGGCCTTCAGCTGATCGAGGTGATGACGACCTTTGTGTCACTGCTGAACCTGATTGATTATGTTTGGATAAGTGAACATAAGAAAAATAACTGTTTTGTCTGTTGGATTCGTACATCAGAGGCTGCAGTGGCGAATTTCTGTCCCAAGCTTTGAAAAAATAATTCTTCCAGTTCTTAATGTGAGCTGTTCAGATTTATTTCTGACTCGTACATACCAACAGAAAACGATTTGCTGCTGCAGCGCACACTCCCATTGCCGTCCTGGCTCACTCTAACCTGCTACCACACATGCGCTGTAATGCTTTCTTACCCGACACAAACGCGCAGCATTTATTCTCTAACAGCATGTTATACAAAATCAAACATGTCGCATAATAACTGAAACAGTATCAAAAACATTTCTCTATAGATGGGCTCTAACAGAGGTGACGATGCGTCAGATTGTGTTGATATCAAACTCATCTTGCAGCTGACTCTGTTAGTGTTGATGATTTCAACCCTTTTTTGGATGCGATGGGGGATTTTGTACCAATGTGGCCAATGCCAGCTTTTTGTTTGGAAAGTTTTCTCCAACAACAAAGACGAATTCTCTCTGAGCTCTTTTCGACAATAAGCAGAGAAACTGAAACGAGTCTGCGCTGCTGTCCCGACGCCTCGTTAGTATTCTGGGTCTTTGTGTGCTCTTTCAGCTTTGAAGTCGTTTCTTGTTTAGATTTTGATCTTGGAGATTGTTGTAGTCTCTCTCCTTTGTACAGCTTTGATATTCTTTCTGCTTCTCATCATTTTCACACAGCACTGTCTCGTTTCACAGGGAGACACTTTCTCTTTCATTTCCTCTGCCTTCGCACTTTTACCTGTGTACCTGCTGCTGTGGGGCTGGCATCGTGAACATGGCAGTCGCTGGATTGGATGTCACTGCTGTTTTAGTTTTAACTTTGTAACTTAAGACAGTTCGGTGCTTCTGGTGTGGATGAGTCACGTCCCCTCCAGACTTTAAAAGGAGCGATTTTCAAAATTAAGAAACCAAAGAAGGAGATTGTGAAGTATGCGCTACACACAATGTTTCTGTATTTATTTGACAGTTCTGCACAGGTAACAGTCCGGTCCAGCTCTCTCTGCCGTCACTATATAGACAAAGAAAGAAGACCCTGTCATCACACAGTCGCCACCACCTGTGGCTCACCTGCCTCCCGGTCCCGCCCCCTTGAGCTCACTGCACCGCTTCCCCCCTGCAGCTGCGCCAGGCAACACTTAGACTTGGTTTAAAAGTAAAACTTTGTTCTAAAGACATTTTTGGCCTTCATGTGTAAATTTCTCTCGTCTCCAGCTGGTTGCAGCTGCACATCCCTGAGCCTGGCCCTGCCCGAGGAGGCTTCCTGTTAGAAAAGAGCTTTTCCTTCCCACCGTCTGCTCACAGGGGTTATTTGATTTGGGGGGTTTCTCTGTATTATTGTGGGGTCCTTCCCTTACAATATAAAGCACCTTGTTTTTGTGATTTGGTGTTATATAAGTACAATTGAACTGAACTGAATTTCAGAATTTTCTTCTTCAAATATCTCTGCAAACTTCTGACCAAAAGAAATGGGATGTTGGGTTTTCTCAGTGAGACGTGCTTCCCACTGCACCACACTGCCACGCTGGCATGCAGGAACAGTAAGCCAAAAATTCACAGTGTAACAGGACATGATGTGAAAATGTTCTGGATGCAGATGCTGCAGACAGTCTGTACATGTTTGCTCGGAGCTCCAAAACCAGAAGTTTGGAAACGAGTTCATTGTGAAGTCAGAATTTCTCTTAAGTGGTTTATTTGATCTGTTTCCACCTACGTGAAAAACAGGATCTGGGCTGGATTAATTATTGATTGATCATTATATTTCTGTGTCACAGCGCTGCAGGATACATCAGCCAAGCAGCAGGAAAAACATCAATGAGAAGTTATGAATTCTAGCTCTACTTTAACAAGTACAGCCTTTAAATGTCATTTTATCCTCATATTTTAGCCCTTAAGGCCGTTTCTAACATATAACATTGTAAGTAAATGGATATTTGAAGTGTTTTGTTTATGGCACAGCTTTTCATCAGTTTGAATTTATCACAGTAAACACTGCCTGCCAGTCCAGCAGAGATGTGAGTCCGTCACATAACTAGAATGTTTATTGTCATCAGTTCAGATGATGGTGCTCTCAGCTGTTAGCACCACTTTGTCCTTTTTGTCTTTCTGTGTGGATTTGCTTTCTATCTGTATCTTCACTTACATCAGTGGCCTGGTTCAGGCGATAATGGGCTGCCCGACACTTTCCTTAGATGCGGCCTGAGACCATCCACAGTGAGTGTGCAGGAAAACCAAAGTCTCATTACTTATTCTGTTTTTTCCTTTTCTATAACAAATCTCTGCTCCAGTGTTTTTGTTTTGTAAGCTGAGACAGTGATGCAGCAGCACATCATGGCGAGGCACGACACAAAGTTTGATTTTGTTATTAAAATAGAAGAAAAAGCACTTAATGACTGATAAAGTAAGAAGGAAACGTAAAGAGCAGGATTTATCTCATATCTCAGCAACTGTATTTCTGTGAATTTTGTACAAACGTTTAATTTTGTTGATCCTAGGACTTTGTTTCCAACATGATCTTTGATCTCAGCACTTCAGGAGTTAAATATGTGAATTCCTTTTGAACTTTACCTTGAAAATTGGAAATATCCTTCCTTTACTAAAACAAGTTTCTCTCGTAAATGTATTACTTTGATTTGAAAAGTTCTTTGTTGTCTTGGTTTGTGTTGTTTAAAGTCCCCGAGCTCTATTGAAATGAAAGCGCAGACCTTAGTTTGAGCATCCTCGGGATCACCTGTGTGTTCTGTGTTTTCCGTGTGCCAGGTGTACTGGGTGGGTCCGTCAATGGGTGGCACCCTGGCTGCAGCTCTTTATGAATACCTGTTCTGCCCCGACCCAGAGGTGAAGAAACGCGAGACTTTTGTGAAGACGCCCTTCACTGCTGCTAAACAACGCCAGGATTCAGCCACGGCCCAGGAGCCTCTCTTCACTGTCATGGATGTAGAAAGAGCTGAGAGGAGGGAGAGGGAGGTGTCTGGGGAGGTGCTGTCCTCTGTGTGACTAGAAAGAAAAGAAAGCACCAATGCTCCAAATGCTGCCGTCTGCTCCTGTAGACGGGCGCATTAAAACAGTCATGGTTGAAGCAGGAAGACTGAACACTTCACGAGGGGGGGGCTTCTTCTTTTGGCAACCAAAAAGCTTGTTTTTGTTAGTTTAAGTAAATGGCTGCAAGGCTTTCAAAAGAAACGCTGTAAATAAAAAGAAACTGCTGAAAGTGTGTGTTTGTGCTCATGTAATATGGATTTCCAGTTTTCTTTTCAGGGAAGTGTCACATCTGAGGAAAACTAGTGTGGCAGGAAAACTGGGGACGTGAAAGACAAACAGCAACCGTGACGTGACCTTGTCCCACCCTCAGTAACACTCCGGGTAATATGGATGCAATATAACGTCAGTGCTGAGCTCCCTGCAAACAAACACTCTCTGATTCTCTCTCGTCTTCAGTCTGAGTGTCATTGCTGCCGACTTTCTGCCAGAAAACACCGACGCGCTTAAAAGTCAGCGCTCACAGCACGCGCACTCCGGTGTTTTATGATGTCAGCAGCTAACAACACTTGTTAGGGTCCAACATTAAGTTTTCATAACCTCAATCTTAATTTATTCACTGATCTTTCTGTTGTGCTCACAACATCAGGGGGTTGCAGTCTTCTTTTAAAGTGGCATCAAGTTCAACAAAAAAGAAAGACGACGCCCTGTGGAGCCTCCTCGATTTTTCACCAGACAAAAAACTGCATACCACATAAAAACATTTGACCCCTTTGAAAAAGGGAAACAGTGCTTCACCAGCAGAGGTGAAGCGCCGCAGAAGGAGATGTGGCTCATAGTTTATCCAACAATAAACGTATTAATCCCGCTGTAACTGAAACTGGCTTCAGTTCAGCTGGGCCACAGCAGAGGCTGCTGCTGACTTTATGCCTCATATCGCTGTGGACGAGGCCCTGAAGGGTCTCACGGAGAGCATCTTATTACAATCAAAACCATGAAAACTGTCCAAAGATTTGTTTCAACCGCTTCTTCACAAACATGATGAAAACATGCACTTCATGGAATGAGAGGTAGGTGGGAGCCGAGTGCTTTTCAGTACAAGAGGACGATAAATCCTGGTGAAGAAAGTACACCCTCAATTCAAGGACATGTTTCATTTAATCGTCTGTTCCTCGGCAGACCTTAAATGACTTAAACACAACCTCAGTTCAATGACAGCAAATGTGACATTGTGCCACGTCTTTATTTATTTTACAAAAACTAAGTCAAAGTGTAAGAAGACCAGCACACGTCCTGATTCAGTGGCTTTAGAAACTTTTAATTTGAGGTTTTCTTACATGGTTCATTCATGCATTTCTAACTATTCATTCGTTCCACCACGGCCGTGGTTCACAGTTCATGTGAAGTGTTTGAGTCCCTAAACACGGTGCTCTGTGTTACGGACAAATGACTTTGGTCTCACATTGAGGTTTGACAGTTGTGGTTTGCTCAGACTTTTACTGTGCTGCCATGTTTTTAGAGAGAAGAGTCGCTTCACTGTTCACTGTTTTTGTTGTTGTTGTTTTTGGAAATTTCTCCAAGAATGGTGCAGTCTGAATTTTGTGAGAAGAATGAATATTTTCCTCTAATCTTGTCTTTCTCACTATAAGCGATAGATTTCAAATTACTTGCAAAAGGCCATACAACCTTTCCCCGACTGATAGGAAGGAGCGATGGCTTCTCTAAGATAAGTGCTCTTTCCTCCGTGGCACTGAGGTAGCACGAACAACTGAATTCAAACTACCAGAACTTCTGCTTTTACAGGTTTGGTCCCACTTGATAATGAAACTACACAATCAATGTGTAGTTTTAAATATATAATGACAGAGTGAAACATGTCGTGTGTTTTGTTCACCTGAGGTTGTATTTAACTAATTTCAAGACCTGCTAATGATGAGAACCGCTGATGTGAAGCTGTTATGGGGTGATGTGGCCTCTGTCTCTGGTCCCTGTTGGCCCTCGCTGTGGTAAACCACAGTCGTTGCTGGTAAATTCTAGATTTGCTCTAAAATCTTATTTTCTGTCCTGGAGTCTAATGTCTGCAGTCTTGGTTTGGTTGTTTTGTGCTGAATTTGCAGGAGCTGTTCATGACACTGAAACATTCACTGTACCTGTAGTGTAATAATCTATTAAACACTCAAGTCTGGAACATGAGCTGGATCTACTAAGCAGCACTGCTCACCAGCTGACTGGACTGCACGGTGGCCTCATTCCAACTATAAGAAACTGCAAAAACAAACTGTTAGTATCAGAGTTAATATAGCAGTAGAGCCTCTTATGGCCCTGTGACTGCAACACTCATTACAGAGCAGAACAACAAACTGCCAGATCAATGCAAAACTGCGATGTGTGAAGTTTGGCCTTGAGGCTTGAAACAGATTAAGTTTGCATTTAAAATGTGTGAGTTGTTGTGCTGATGGGAGGGAAGCAAATTTAAAAAGATTGTTCTTCTTAACAACTCTGCAATAAATCTCTGACGAACAGTTCAGCACAGAAAGTGCTTTTAATGTATGAATATAATACTGGCCTGCAAAAGATGCTCACCTGGTCACTGCTGTACTGACAGTGTGTTGTTATTGCCACAGCTTTCACAGCAAACAGGTGTACTGTTGCCCTCTGTTGGTAACAACAGCAGCGAGCACTGCTTTACAAGTTTCATTCTCTCGACCAGGATCGTCCCACTGCAGGCATCGAGGGCAGGAGTCCTGCAGGTTCCAGATGTGTCCTTGATCCAACACAGCTGATTTAAATGACTAAATGACCTCCTCAACCTGTGCTGTGGTTCTCCAGAGGCCTGGGAATGAACTGTGTTGACCCAGAGTGAGATCTGAAACCTGCAGGACACCGGCCCTCGAGGCCTGGAGTTCCCCACCCCTGCTCTCGGCTATGAAGTGTAAATGAACACTTGTTGGATGTGTTTTCACTCATGTATTGCTGAATAATATTGCACAAGTGTTGTAGACACTGTGCACCTAAAAATGATTTATAATAAAAATGTATGATATTGAAATCCATGTATTTAAATATTTAAACATTCTTTGCCAAAAACAGAATAAATAACGTATTTGTTGTTCTTATCTGTACCTGATCAAACTGACCAAGTGATGGAATCAATCCTGAAACTGTGTGTTTAGCTTCAAAGAATAAGATGTTGTCAATCACGTCAAAAACAAATCTGTGTTATTTTAAAAGAAACCACCTGCAGGATTTAGAAATCAGGCATTCGGGAACAAATGATCCATCATGTCCACACTGCTTTTATAAACACGATGAAGCTCATGTGCAAGTTCAATGAGGAAGAGTCACTCGTCTGTTTCCCAGGTGTTGGCAGCTAATCTAAGCTTTGCATCACTTCCACTTTCCCACGCTGTCAAGACGATTGTGACTTCTCCAATCAGCTTTCTGCTGACCGTCTTTAGGCCGATCAGCCTTCACTCCACGTGCTTTAAAATCTCAGAGTGCATCTGTCATTCTCCCACTCAGTCGCCTCCGTGCAACCGACGTCCTGGGAAGAAGGTGGAGTGGGTCCTGCCTTTATCCCTGTCACTGCTGCTCTTTCTAATGATCTCTCCTCATTGAACCATACTTCACTGTGATGTTCACAATGAGGTGACTTACCAGAAAAAGTAAAAACTCAGTGTGTGCATGAGTAGATTGCATGATTGAAGTTACAAAAGTTTTAGACATTAAAACCGTTCTCAGGTACAGAACGAGGCACCCACGTCCAGTTTAGTGCAGACTGCTCCTGCAGAGGCACCACTGGTTTTTATTTTAGGCTTATCTATTAAAATGTACTACGTGACTCTATCACTAAGCACCCAACCCTCTGCTTCACACAGATGGATGAATACTTGATTTTTTAAATCTTTAAATATAGTACAGAACTGTCAGTTCCGCTGTTCGCTATGTCTTGGGTTAACAAAGCATGGCAAAGCAGCTGCTATCAAATCGTTAATTGCTGCCTGAAATGATAAAACATCTGTGAAAACATTTAAAAGCTTGTTTGTTCTCTAAACTCTTTGTCTGGACATTAATCAGACCTCAGAAAAATCACATTTATGCCTCTATTGTTCTATGTTATGGTTAGTCAGAACCACATGATTCAACTGTGACTGTAACACTGTATCTGTTATGCTGCTGTTCCATCACCGTCTCCACTACAGACGCTGTGTTGTGTTTTCTGAGCTTTGTTTCTTTCCTTGCTCGCTTGTTGTGATGTTTTGAAGCATTTTTTGAAGCGTTTGCTTTTTGTTTTGGTGGCCTTATCATTAGCTGCTCAAACAAAGGGATCGCTCAATTTAGTAGCTCAAAGGTAAAAATCAACCCTGTAAATCCTCATGTATATGGATGTATATGGATATATATATATATAT